GTTGTCGAGTGATATGCATTCCAAGATGATGGTCTAGCTGTAACAAATCGTCAGGGAAATACTTTTAAATAACTGTTTTGAAATGTATTGCAAATAAAGAATAAAGGAATAGATTGAAAACAACCAATATCAATCAATAATTAAAAACAATTTTACATAAAAATATTCATTTATATAGTAAACATTATATAAATAATAATCATACAATATAATAATAATCATATACTATAAATGATATTTAAAATAATAGTTGTAGTATATAATTACATTTTATTAAACAAAAAATAATTACAAAATATTTTCGAGTTTGTTTAGTGAATGTCAGTGAGCAAGGGACATTTAAAAATACATTATTTAAAAGTAAAATAAAGTGAAAATGTGGCAATTTGCAGCAATAACTAAAAGCACTGCCTTCACAGTGAAAAAAATATCTACTCACCAAGGATATTGGAAATATCCATGTTCAAAAAATAGCTCAAAATCAAATTAAAATCTTTTAAAATTAATAGGGTTGTAGTGAAAAAAAAACAATAAAGATTAACTATAATTAGCATCATTCCCATGGCAACCATAATACCACATGATGAAAATATCAAGGTAACCATATTGTAAAGTTATCACCTGTATTGGCAAACATAAACAACTTGAGACGTAGCACTCAGATATCAAATTAGCACCCTTTAAAATTCTAAATAGCTTAGTTAAAAGTATTTTGAACAAAGTATGAAGAAAATTGCATCTTCTTTTATAATGTGGATGAAATGCTCATCCTATGACCAAATTTCGGTAACAATTGTAATACATAAATACTTCAGTTCCTTGTGTTTACTTAAATTGTAATCTTTTTTCCATTTTTCCCCATCAACATGGAAATTTTACTTTGTAAAAAGAAAATGGGTGATTAATATATGGTCATGAGGAGATAATAATTTATGGTGTGATGTGTTCCTAATGGTGTAAAATTTTGAGAGTGGGATGCCAGCTCTGGTTTTATCATTGTTCAAAATTACCATGGTCTAAAATTTGAAATTTCATTGTTAATAATCCTTGTGTAGCTTCAGAGTTCTCAATTGAGAAAAAAATCAATGCATGTTATTTACTTGAATGTCCATTTATTATCACTTTCTGCTCTTTAGCTCATTTTCTTTTACACTAGGAAGGATAACAAGAATGAGAGTAAAATATGCAAAAAAAGTACAAAACTTTGAAAGAGTAAATGTTGCAAGGAACAAATAAATGACTAGTACATGTCCTTTCATTTAGAATATCATTTGTCAATAAAAACAAATTGTATAATGTCACTGCAAATGTATGCAAATAAAATTCTTGCCATTGAACTGCAAACATGATTCCACGCAGATTTAAAATATTTCATCTCTGGTACACTCCAGTATTTGGTTGGATAGATCTTGAAATTCACTATTTATTGGTTTTATGTTCCTAAATGCTGTGGCTATGGTAGTCAAAAGGTCATGGTTGCTAAATTGTTGCTGGCTTCATTAAATTGTGGGTTTGAGCCCTGAAGATTTGGGTACTTGTGTATCGTAACAATGCCACAGATCAAGATAACTTGATAAGTTGACAACTTCAATTTTCGCTTATGTTGTATGCGCTGAATTGGCAATCATGTGTTACATTTTGTATAATGTCACCAATAGGTTGCAATAATATGTAAGTACCAAGATTTGCCATATACAGATGTTGATTCAAAATTACCAAGGTTTAAAATTACAATTTCTGTTTTTAATATCCTATTGTGCAGCTTGGAAATCCAGCATTGAAAAAATCAGTCAAATATTAAATGCACATTTAGTAGCACCTGCTACTCTTTTGCTTATTTTTCTTTCTTCTGTGCAGAATAACAAAAATAGAAGCAAATTACACAAGAAAGAACGAACATACCATGAGTACTTATGCCTTTTTACACAGATATCAATTGTCAACAAAAACAAATAGTACATTTTACAATTGTTGAGTGTAAGCACATGAAATTCTTGTCATGAATTGAAACTGAATGGAGAGTATAAATTTTTTACAGATTTAAAATATTTTTTGTGTGTAATATATGGCAGTATTTTGAAGGACAAGACTTGAAATCCATATTTATAGTTTTCGTGCCCATTAAATGACAAACAGCAGTGGCCTTTGATTGTAATCTGACGATTGTTGCAATACAATTGCGCGTTGTAAGAAATTTATATATATATATTGCAATTTTTATTTGTATCTTGGGCAGCATGCTTCAAATCCATTCATTGCTTTAAAATATAGATCTCATGCTTTTAGATACAAAATTACTCTAGTAACAATCTTTCTAATTGTGTATGTGTAAATAAAGAAATATACTTATTTAAATTGGTTAATAGATCAGATAATGCTCAATAAAAAATATTGCTTGTCAGTAGGACTAATTGGAATTTAACTCTTCCAGATCACTCCATTTTGGTGAACTTTGGGATGCTTCAGATAAAATGTTTAACTTTTCATGCTTAAAACTAACATTAAATTAATTTCTCAGGATAAGCAATCTGATAGTTAATTTTAAATTCCATGCCCATCTTCCTTTTTCTCACAGGTGTATGTGTATGTTCTTGGAAAAGTTGTGAAACTATTTAATGGGAAAGATAAAATGATCATTTACTTCTATCAAGGCTAAATTAGATACTTTTAAAAGAATTGTTAATTAACTGTGGCTGCATTACCTGTTGATAATATTTTGCTTATTTTTCATTGTATTCTCATATAGTTTGAGTTTATCATTAGTTTTTTAATTTGGCTTTATTAATCAAATCAAACCAAGATTATACTTCTTGTGAGGAGTGGATATTATTTCAATGCCTACTATTAGTTCACACTCTCACTATATATATAGTAATATAAAATAACAGTGAAGTACTAGAACCTACAGTGCTAAAGCAGGAAGAAATTGGAATTCACCAGACATAACAAATGTAGATACAAAAAAGTCTTTGGACTAAACTGGAGACCTATTATGATTTCTAAAGCTGTTGCTGAATTAGGCCATCGAATTAGGGTTAGCAATGCTTTATGGATCCTACCTTCTCCGTACAGCAGAAACATTCGACATAATAGGAAGAAGAAAAAAAAACACCAAGTTGAAAAGTTAAGCCTAATACAACACGTGGAAGAAAAACCTGATAATATATTAAAATGAAGCTAAGAAAAGAGAACAATAATGAATGTCTCAAGGAGAGGAATAAAAAATAAATAAATAAAAATAAAATTAAAAAACTTACGTGTAAAATAATTACTGAGAATCGAAAATTCAACCTTCCAGAATAAGCTCCCTACTCGAAATGACGTAAAGTAAATTGGAAAGACTATTCGAGAAGAAAAAATAGTGGCGCCACCAGGATATTTATTTTGCAATTAAACAAAGCACTAAGATTTTTTTAAAAATAAACTAAATAAAGGAAGTTTTAAAAACGATAATGAACAAATTTAAGAATAGATAAAATCAAATAAAAATATATAACAAAGTAAATAAACTTGGATGATTATATACTAATCGATATATTGCAATTAAAATAGGCGCTTACAAATTTTTTCGTTTTTTTAAAAAAATAAACTAAATAAAAGGAATTTTAAATAAAATAATGAACTAAGATAAAAATATATTTAATTAGAAATAGAAATATATTTATAAATAAATTTACTTGGATAATTGTATTCTAAACAATTATTGCAAAAATTCACAAAATTACTTTGTTTTAAAATGTTATCAGTAACTAAATCATTGTTTCTTTTTATAAAATTTAAGATAATATTTCTAAATATTGATAGGTGTAGGTTACTACCCCAAAAAGGCATTTTTATAATGTTAAAATCAAATGAGTCTCTTTTATCAAAAATATTACTTAACAGCAAATTATTCTTAACCTTTAATTGAAGGTCCAAAAAGTTAGCTGACTCATTATTATAATTAGTTTTTACTAATTTTAAATAGTGGAGATAATAATTAAGGTTAGGAACAAAAAGTCTGCTATATTACTAAACATAATTAAGTCATCTATGTATCTAAAAAAGTAACAAGATTCATAACTAATACTTTCATTTTCATAAAAATGCAAGTAGATATTTGCTAAGCAGTTGCTAGCTGATCCCCCTTGTGGTAAACCTTTAATTTGCTGATAATAAGCGTTATTATGGAAAATATATAATTTTCTTTTAATATTAATTCAATAATAGAAATATATTTATCATATTTTAATATCCTATTTAAAAGTATATGCTATTTTAAGAATCTTAAACATGTCTTCTATATCTATGGAATTAAATATGTTAAGTATTGTAGTAGTGTTGGTTTGTTTCGATTGTTGTCATATCTGGTTTAGTGAAAACGTCTTCAGAATTGATTTTCATCTTTTTATTTTGAAGCACACATTGATAGCTTAAAACACAATTGCAGTACATTGAATAGAGAAACTTTCAACGATCACCAAGCAAAGCAGACAACGGCAAACGGCAGCAGCATGTTGGAGAACACAACACAAAGACAAAGAGCTGTAGTTGTTTACATTCTTATATGATGAAGACAAGCAGACAAAAAGAGCGATTACACAAGGTTTTTGCTTTTATACTAGCAGTGCAAGCGCGTGATTATTACGTAATAATAGTTCTGATTGGACAGAATGGGCGGGACAGGGATTTCGGACTAGCTGATTACGATTAAGATTACAGTGTTATTTTTTAAACCAAAGAATTAAAGTTTGTTTGAATATTAGTACAGAGTTAATAAAAAGGATAATAGAGGGAATTATTACATATATATATCATCAAATTTTAAATCATTAATAAAATACTTTTTATTCATCCACTCAAGTTCAAATACATTTTTTTAAACTTGTAGTGGATGACATTTGATGTTCATACAGTTTTTTCAAATATTAATTCATTAATTAAATTTAATTAATGAATAAATAGTAACAAACAAAAATAAAAGTCCAACACCATATCTAAAAAGGAAAATTGCTTGTTGTGTTCCTGCAGTGCAGTGAAAAGCCCGTTGAACTTCTAATCCAAAGGTTGTGGGTTCGAATCTCACCTGGAATAGCCTAATTTCAGAGAATGTCATTTCTTTTCATTCTATTTTATTGGAATAATTAAATTTAATGAATAAAGAGTAACAAACGAAAGTAATACTTCAACACCATATTTTGAAAGGAAAATGGAAAATTGCTTTCTATTTTGCCACTTAATATTGTGACTCTGACATTATATGTATTTACATATTTATATTAATTGTAATTATTAAATAAAAAGTAACTAAAATAAAATTTTTCACTTTTGACCTAAGTAGGAACTGATTAAAAAAAATTTTTTTTGTATTACTTGTTCACACACATAGTCTTATTAATAACCTCATCGCATCCATTGGAAATAGTTGTGCAGCGATATTACTTAGAGAGGATCACACGTCTGTATTTAACATCCTACATTTTTTCAGACAATTACTTATCACTTATGCATAACCAAATTGTTGCTCTAAAGTATCTTTTTGATTTCTTTCTATCTTTAAAAAAAAAATTAAAGTTCTCGTACAAATTTGCTTTTTTATATGTTGCATTTTAATACATGTGTCATGAATGTTTGGTCCTTTGTCGTTTAAGTTAAGAAAAATTGCTTAACAATTGTTAGGACACTTTATATTTGTTAAGCTTAACTGTCGCAAAAGTAAAAATGTTGCAAGTAAGTTACTGTCAACATTCGTAGTCCTGCCAATCTCTGGCAAAGCAAAAAAAGTTACAAAGATTTCTTAAGTTTTATAATTATTATTGTCAATATAATTTTTAAGTATTATTTTAAAAATTAACAATAAAATAATATTTACTATTACAAAAAATAAATAGTTTACATAAGCTACAAAACAGTAAATAACAAATGCCTAAATATATAAATTAACAATTATATTTTGGTATATAATGTTCTATACTTTTATTATATTTCTTATTCATTAAATTGACTTGGCTTGTGTCGCCATTAGTAAGCAAAGAAGTGGACAATTATTGTTCCTACTTTACCTCCTTACTATCAACTAAGTTACAAACCAAGAAATATGGCAGGGGCAATGTTGAAATCTGATTGTTACATATTATTAGGTAATCTCATAAATTATAATCTCATTCTAACATTTACATGAAATCAAATACATATGCTTGTGCCATATACCTTTTGAAAAAAATATTATATACAAAGATAATTAGTTTGATGCTGCAGAAACAGTATTCATTTATAAGCATAACCAAATATTAGACAAAATAAACCAAAATGTTAGACACTTGATCATACAAACTTTATAACTATTCAGCACAAATATCACTTCTGAAAACTTGTAGGTTTTTTTTATCTGTCTACCACTCCTTGTAATAGATGGTTTTTCATCAGATAAGAGTTGAGAGTTTTTAGTTGGTGAATTTTGACATCTAATTGTTTACAAGGCATTGTTGAATTGTTGGGAATGAAGTCTGTCACCAACAAATAATCTGGTTTCAATCTATCAACTGATATACTTTAAGTGGCATGCATATCCAGGACAGAAACTGCGACCTTCGGAACCGAAAGCACGTAACATACCGCCAGACCAAAATTATCACTCTAGTCTGGAGGCTGTTACTGTCTTATATAGATGGTACCACTACATACTCACTAACACTGTAAAATAATTCTCTCATCCTGTGAACAGTCCTTCGTATGGTGGATCAAGTGTTTTCTTTACTTGATCTACTCTCACAAATGCATCTGTGCAGGATTTTGAATTTTTATGCCCAAAAATCTTGATTTCTTGGAGGTGAGGATTTCATTGGTTTCAGCTCCTCCATAAAAGTGTGCTATGGGTTTCAGAATCAATTTGAGTAATATAGGGATCAAAAAATTTACCTGGCAATCTGATGTTTGAACCATTTAAGCTATGGCATGATCAGTATCTTATGCAACCATCCCACTTTCTCATTACATTAAGAGTGGTAAGAAGTTTTATGAGTAACCCCATGTATATAACAGCCAAACTTCTGAACAACTGGGACTCAAATTGCCTTCTTTTATCCATAATTATTTTCACAGGCAACTCCAAATTTGCAAACCCAGTACTCTTAAAAGGCTTTGCTTACTATCTCTGCTGTAACATCAAGTAAAGAAGCAACCTCCATCAAATATGAATACCAATTGATACAGGTCATACAATATGTCATACCTTCCGATGGTGGTAGTGGACAAATTAAATCAACGTGTATCACACTGAATCTTGTATTGGGTAATTCATATTCTCTGAATTTATGTTTAGTATGTGTGTGCTTTTTACATTTTTGACAGCAAATGCACTGTTATTGTCCATTCTCTTACTTATTTCTTCATATTTGGATAGATAAATAGTTGATCTTATCCCAGGGTGTGAAAAAACATGAATTTGTTGGAACATCTGTTGTCAAAACTGCTCTGGAATGTAGGATCTTATGTTGGGTGTGGAAATACAGATGGTAATATGCATGATTTGAATTTTGCTAAACAGCCATTCATCATTAACTGTTGCAATTCTGAATCTTGGCATTGTTTATTTGCTACAGCATCATAGTCGATAGCTTAAATTTTGATTCTTGAAAACCCCTGCAACTATAATATCTTCTCCTTTGATATGCATACAATTTGTTGTAAATTCAGAAATATATATTGAAGTTGTTGTAGTTGCCTTGGGGATGCTTTATTAGGTTTTTGTAAAAATACATAAATTGAGGGCTTGGGATCTGTATACACTGTAAATTTTCTTCCTTGTAGCAAATGTTTGAAATATTTAATGGAAAGATAAATACCCCTAGGATTCATGATCATATGTGCTGTAATTTTGTTGTGTAGGGTTGTTTTAGTATAAATTCCAATTGTGGTTTCCAAGTATTTTCAGATTGTTGTAAAACTGAATCACTAGCATCTGTGAATAACACAAGAGGTAATTCAGGATTTGGAAAAGATCCTTTTCAAAGTCAATTTTCAAATTGTTTTCAGCTTCTTCTGACTACTGAATTTTTTGCTTGTCTCTTTTTTTAGCCCTTTTGAGATAATCATGAATAATATTTTGGTTTTTCGTAGCATCTTTCAAGTAATGTGTAGATATTAATCATACTGTGGAAAATACAGAGATCATGTAGAATTTCTGGTTTCTTAATAATTGCTTGAACTTTTTCTGGAAGAGGCTGAAAACCTTCTTGTGTGAAAATATAAAATAGGAATTCAATTTCCTGAACACAAAATGCACAGATTTGGAAATATTTATTCTTTATCCTTAATTATTTAATCTTTCAAAAACTATTTTCAGATGAACTTCCTGTTTCCTTTCATTAATTGATGCAATGAGATTGTCATCTAAATAGCAAAACAAAAATCTAGTCCTCTAAGTGCTTCATGTATAAATCTTTGAGCAATTGGAGCATTTTTTAAACCAAAACTCAATGTTATTTTCATATGGACCAAAGACAATTGCAATTTTACATTTATCTTCTTCTACAATAGTCATTTGATAATAGGCTTTAATTAAATAAATTTTGGAAAATATTATAGGGTTTTTTTAAAATAGGGTAAAAATCTTTGATTTGTGGTATTGAATCTTCTATTCTCTCTGGAATTGTTTGAGATTTAAGTTGTCTTTAGTCTCCACATGGACAAACTGTTCCATTCTTTTTAATTACAACATTCAATGAACTGGCCCATTGTGAGCTAGATAGATGAATAATTTCACTATCGAGCGTAAATTTAAATTCTTCCTTAACTATTGCTAGATTTTTAGGATCAAATTGCTGTGCTTTAGAATGAATCAATTGATCTTTTGTTTCTATGAAATGTGTTTAACTTTGTGTTTGACTTGATTAGATAGAATATTGGATTTAGTTAATTCAGTGTATTGTAAAAGTAAATTAGAAAATGTTTCACATTTATTTAATAATGTAATCTTCAGATCATTCGTGGCAAAGAAAATATCACCCTGAGCATCAAGTTGTGTGAATCTATTCATTAATCTTTTTTTGTTGATATCAATCAATAAGTTAAATTTGTGTTAAAAATCAGCTTTTACTAATTTTGGCAATCATAAATGGAAATAAAAATTCTAGATGCAATCCCTAAACCAATTTTTTGCACTTTATCTCCATAGGTTGGAATTTCTGCCCCATTTGTTGCAAATAATTTATAATCGGTTGTTTATTTTTAGATATAGTTAGTATTAGTGAACAATCATCTCGTCTATCTACCAGAAAGTGTAAATTCATCATTCTATCCTTGATGAATAATTGAAACTTGTAACAAGCTTTATAACTTTCTGCAGTGGAATTAAGTGTGATGTCTACTGCAGATTGAAGTTTTTTATGCTTTTATTCCATGCTCAGGGTGGACTATATTTTTCAGGTTTGCATCAAGCACCAAAAAATGGAAATGAAAATAGCAGTAAATTTTTGCAGTTGCTGACTAGGTTTCATATCATGTAGCTTAATTCCAGACAGCTGCTTTATACAAAAATTTTCAATTTCCTTGAATAAATTCAGCAATCTGTTTCCGGAGCCCATATATCGTATGTCACTTTTGCTGTTCACTATGTCCCAAATATTCTCAACATATTCTGGCTCCAATTGAGATACCAAGTAATTAAATGTAGTTTCTTTTGAAGTAATTTGAGATATCCGGAATTCTGCATCAGTTTGGCAAAAGAAAGAAGTTATCAAGAAATTGTTTCTAGGTTTACAAGTATTATTTTAAATATTAATAATTATAATTTTAAAAGTTAACAATAAAATAATATTTACAATTACAAAAGTTAAATCCATTTAGTTAACATAAAATGCAAAAAGTAAATTACAAATACCTAAATATAAAATTGAGAAATTCATCTTGAATTAACAATTATTTTTCAATATATAATGTTCTGTACTTCTATTATATTTCTTCCTATTTATTAAACTAACTTGCCTCATGCAGCCATAGTCATTAGTTGACAAAGAACTGATCAATTATTATACAAACAAATTCTTTCCATTTTATGCCTATGCATCATTATCTCCCATGACTTTCACTTCTTT